TCACAGATATTCCACATAGCAACATCTTCACAGATATATCCCCTAGAGCAAGGGACATAAAGGAAAGAATAAACAAATGGGACCTCATCAAATTAAAAGCTTCTGCATGGCTAAAGAAAACAGCATTAAAAAGAAAAGAGAACCAACAATATGGGAAAACATATTTGCCAGTGATACCTTGGACAAAGGTTTGATCTCCAAAATATATAAAGAACTCACACGACTCCACTCTAAAAAGACAAGCAACCCAATTAAAAAATGGGCAAAGGACATGAACAGACACTTCTCCAAGGAGGACATATGGAGGACCCAGAGACATATGAAAAGATGCTCAGCATCACTAGCCATCAGAGTCATGCAAATTAAAACCACAATGAGGTGCCACCTCACACCAGTCAGAATGGCCATCATAAACAAATCAATAAACAAGTGTTGGAGAGGATGCGGAAAAAAGGGAACCCTAGTGTACTGTTGGTAGGAATGCAGACTGGTGCAGCCACTGTGGAAAACAGTATGGAATTTCCTCAGAGAACTAAGAATGGAACTGCCTTTTGATCCAGCAATTTCACTGCTGGGATTAAACCCTAATAACTCTGAAACACCAATCCAAAAGAACCTATTCACCCAATGTTCATAGCAGCACAATTTACAATAGCCAAGTGCTGGAAGCAATCTCAGTTCCCATCAGAAAATGAGTGATTCAAGAAACTACGGTACATTTACATAATGGAATTCTATGCAGGAGCTTATACCCTTTGTGACAGCATGGATGAAACTGGAGAGCATTATGCTAAGCAAAATAAACCAGGCGGTGAGAGACAAATATCATATGATCTCACCTTTAACTGAAATATAATCAACAAAAGAAAAAAAGCAAACAAAATATAACCAGAGACATTGAAATTGAGAACAATCTAACAATACCCAGAGGGGAGGGGAGAGGAAACTGTGGGGGGAAGTGTTTTCAGGAACTACTATAAAGGACACAGACAAAACCAAGGGGGAGGGTAGAAGCAAGGAGAGAAGGTAGGTTTGGATGGGGTAGGGGGGAGTGTTGGAAAGGAAATGCAAACAAATGTAACTGAACAATAATAAAGTAATTTATGAAACAAAAGAGAAAAAGGAATTGAAAAAGATACAAATAAGTGGAAGCATATACTGTGTTCATGGATAGGAAACATTGAAATCATTAAAATGTCCAGATTGCCCAAAGCAATCTATAGGTTCAAGGCAATCCCTATCAAGACACTAATGGTGTATTAGTATTTTACAGAACAAGAACAAATATTCTAGGAATTTGTATAAAACCACAAAAACCCCAAGTAGCCAGGCAACCTTGAGAAAGAACTGAGATGGAGGAATCACACTACCTGATATCAAACTATTGTACAAGGCCATAGTTATCAAAAAGCACGGTGTGGCATAAAAGCAGATATTTAAATCATTGGAAAAGAACAGAGAGCCCAGAAATAAACCCATGGCTTTATGGCCAATTAATTTTTGACAAAAAAGGCAAGAAAATACAATGGGGTAAAGACAAAGTTGGAAAAATTAGATACATGCAAAAAAATGAAACTAAACCACCTTTGTACACCATACACAAAAGTAAACTCAATTACTTTTAAATACTTTAATATAAGACCCCAAACCATCAAATCTTAAAAGACAATTACTCAATTACTTTTAAATACTTTAATATAAGACCCCAAACCATCAAATCTTAAAAGACAAATAGGAAGTAAAATATTAAATATTTTATAGCAGTATTTTTTCTTATATACCTCTTCAGGCAAGGTAAACAAAAGAAAAAATAGAATGGGATTACATCGAACAAAAAAGCTTTTTTCACAGAAAAGGAAGCCATCAACAAAATGAAAAGATTGCCCACTGAAAGGGAGCACATATTTGTCAATTATACATCTGACACGGGTTAATATCCAAAGTTTATAAAGTATTTATGCAACTCAACATCGAAAATACAAACAATCCAGTTAAAAAATACATGAAAGATTTAAATAGCCAGTTCTTCAAAAAGGCATACAGATGGCCAATAGACATATAAAGAAATGCACATCACTAAGCAGAAATGTAAACTAAAACCACAATGAGATATCACTTCACACTTGTCAGAATTGCTATCATTAATAAATCAACAAACAAGTGTTGGTAAGGATGTGGGGAAAGGAAACCTCCTTCACTGTTGGCAAGAATGTAGGTTGGTGCAGCCATTGTGAAAAATAATATGGTGTTTCCTCAAACAAATTAAAAATGGAATTGCCTCAAGGCCCAGTGATTCCACTTCTGAGAATATATCTAAAGAAACCTGAAAAGTTAAATGGAAAGAATACATGTATTCCTATTATCGCTGCAGCATTATTTACAATAACCAAGATTTGGAAGCCACCCAAGTGTCCATCAGTAGATGAGTGAATAAAAAACTGTGGTAAATTTACACAATGGAATAATACTTGGCTGTGAAAAAAGGAAATATTACTCTTTTCAACAGCATGGAATGACCTGGAGAGCTTTATGGTATGTGAAATGAGCCAATTTGAGAAAGATAAATACCATGTAATTTCACTTATATGTAGAACTTAATGAGCAAAATAAACAAAATAGCAACAGACTTATCAATTCAGAGAATAGACCGACAACTTTCAGAAGTGAAAGGGGTTGGATGGCTGGGTGAAAAAGATGGGGAGATTAAGAAAAAAATTCATAGACACAGACAACAGTATAGTGATTACCAAGGAAAACAGGGTTGGGAAGAGGTAGAAGGTTAAGGGAGGAGAAATGGTGACAGAAGGAGACTTGACTTTAGATGAACACACAATACAGATATACAAATGGCGCATTATAGAATTGTACACTTGAAACCTATATAATTTTATTAACTAGTGTCACTCCAATAAATCCAGTGATTTTTTTAAATATAAGAAATGTACTTAATTAAAGGACTTATATTCAAAGCATGTAGAATATTGATCCTTAATAACAAAATAAAAGGAGCTCCTATAGGAAAAAAGGCAAAAAATTTGAATAGATACCTCAGAAAAAAATATCTAAGCAATGTAAATGTTCTTCACCTAATTAGTCATTAGAGAAATACAAAGTAAAATCACAATGAGATGCCACCTGACATTTACTAGTATAGCTAAAGTTAAATATTTTTTAGCAATATCTTGTGATGATGAGAATGTAGAGTAACCAACTTTTACACAATGTTGTTCAGAGGTTAAATTGGTGCAAATTATTTGAAAAGATGTTTGAAAATATCTACTAAAGGTGACAAATACATACCTTAAGACCCAGCAATTCCATCCCAAGATATCTAACCAAGAAAAATGCAGACATATGTATGCAATGAAAGACTCGTATAACAATGTGCATTGATGCACTATTTTAATTTCTGACAACTAGCAACAACCCAACTGTCCCCCAATAATACCATGGATAAGTAAGCTATGAAATAGTCAGATACACATAATGACATGCCTTACATCAGTGGTTCTCAAATGTTAGCCTGAATCAAATTCACCAGGTCTTATTAAAACCCAGATGGCTGAGCCCCACCCCCACTGCTTCTGATTCAGTAGATCTGAACAGGGCCTGAGGCTTTGTACCTCTAATGAGCTATTTTTGCTCAGGGTGCCATATCTTTTGATCCAGAAGGCTACATTAAACAAAACAGAAACAAAATAACAAGAATGATAAGAATTGATCTCACAAACATATTAAATGAAGTTAGCTAAATATTCAAGCCTGTATGTTTGATGATAACAAACAAAACAAGCAAATTAATTCATGGTGAAAATTTCTGGATAGGATTATCTTTGGAGACAGGGATTATTACCTAGAAATGTACTGGAATAGAGTTTTTAGGGTGCTGGTAATGTTCAGTTTCTTTTTGTTAAGTATTTTACTTACTTTTAGAGAGAGGAAAAAGGAGGAAGAAAGAAAGAGGAGGGAGAGAAGCAATGATGTGTGTGAGAAACATAGATTGGTCACCTCTTGCATACACCCCACCCAGAACCTGGCCCATAACACAGGCATGTGCCCTGACTGGGAATCTAACTGGAGACTTTTAGGTCCATAGGCCAGAGCTCAATCTACTGAGCCACACCACAAGGGTGTAGTGCCCAGTTCCTTGATCTGGGTGCTGGTTCCATGGGCATACTCACCTTGTAAAACTTCATCAAAGTATAGATGATAAGATATAAACTTTCTCCCTAATATTACTTTTGAATTAAGATGATTATTTAAAAAGAAGTCTAAAGCCCTGGCTGGCGTAGCTCAGTGGATTGAGCGTGGGCTGCGAACCAAAGTGTGGCAGGTTCGATTCCCCACCAGGGTACATGCTTGGGTTGCAGGCTAGAACCCCCAGCAACTGCACATTGATGTTTCTCTCTCTCTCTCTCTCTCTCTCTCCCTTCCCTCTCTAAAAATAAACAAATAAAATCTTAAAAAAAAAAACACTCATTTAAAAAAAAAGAAGTCTAAATGTGACTCATAAATTAAATATTTTATATATAAAATATATATACATCTATAAATAAATATATAAATAGAAATATAATATAAATAATGCATATCATTTATATTACATATCATATATTGCATATATAATTAAATATAAATGTACATTATTATAAATATGACATATAATTGTATATTTATAAATTGCTACTACACTGAATTCATGAATAAGCAGGTCTGGGGTTATGTAAATATCTGTTGTTCATAAGTGATGAAGAGATTTAGAAAGAAAGACAGGCATTTTAGAGAATTAAAAACCTGAGAGACCCTCAGAGCTTGAGCACTGAGTAATCCCTTACCAACAGCACTGAAATCCATTGGTATTTTGATCTTTAAGCTATAGGGACCACAGTATTATTTTTCCAATGATTTACCCAGAGGTTGAAATCCCCCATCTTAATGTCTACATAATTGGTAAAAAGAAATTAAAACACAAGTAAGGATTTTTTCTTAAAATATGCTACCTTGCAGTTATTCTTCCAAAATGAAGAAGGAAGAAGTTGAGCAGGCAAGTGTGTTTTCATTAATTGAGGAGACTGCATGTTTTTCAAAGTCTCAATGCCTACAAGCATAAAAGTTAAATTACATTATAAATGTGGAATCACAAAAGTCAATTACAACATAATCCAACAATTTGTAAACTTTAACCTAACTACCTGGCTTGAAATGGCTATATGGCTAAAGGGCCACATATAATTCTAAAATATGCAAAGACATGTTTTTAAATGATAAATCCTGGTTAATTAGGCTGTTTTATTGCCTGTGAATAGCAGAGTTTATTATCTTTATAAGTGTCTATAAAATCATCAGAAATATCTTGATGGGGCAGAAACAACAGTAGGTCAAGTATAAAAATGTCCAAATTTTCCTTCATTTATTTTCCTTTTTGTCTCATTTACACTGCAGGAAATCCCTTTCCAGCTTTCTTTTTAGAAATTTTAAAATATCTTTTTAAAATTTCAGTCGACATACAATGTTATATATTAGTTTCATGTGTATAACAGTGATCATACATTATAATATCTTATGAAATAATCACCCCAATTTAAGTCTAGTACCATTTATAGCCCCATGTTTATTTTTATAAGTGGCAATTTGTACTTCTTAATCTCTTTCCAACTTTCTTATATTAAATTTCTGAAAGTTGTGAGGTTCATGGCTAATTTTAAAATTGTTGATAATGTAGGACCTTATATGCACACAATTCTTTTTCTGGAGTCTGTGAACATCAGCTAACTAGCAGCAGATATGATAGATCGAACACAGAATTTTTACTGTATAATGATCACCTAATATTTAAATGTTAAAGATTTTCTCCTGACCTGTTAATAAAAACATACCCATCAAAATCTCTTATATAGATATTATCTTTGGGTGAAAGAGGAGTAGAGTATGTTCATTAGAATAACCAAATTCTTATTCTTCTGTTATAGAAACTTATGATTCCACGGTTCAAACTCTGTTTGTACTATTTTCTATCAGGACTCGTCTAGACACCAAAAAAACCACCACCACCACCACCACCAACAACAACAACAACAACAAAAACAACAGGGGAATTTACTTCTGTGGTGGAAAGGAACATTAACCACTTTCTATTCCAGGTATTATAAGTTTCATGAATGTCACTCGGTTGTATATTGCATCCCGTTTACATTTCTCTGCATCCCCATTGTTATAGATCAAATCCAGTATTTCACTGACCCAGGTTGTGCCTGAAAAACAAATAGAAAGAACTCTAAACTTTGCTGTCAAACAGAGTGTGAGAGGGTCGCAAGAAGTTCTGTAACATCAACAACAAAAACATGCTCTTTGTATTTATTCCTTTTCCCTCTTCTCCTTTCTCCTAGTAGACATCCATGTCTATCTTGAACATATACATATGTATTATGTGTGTAAAATCTGATTAAAGTACTCACAAAAGTAGAACTTCAAAAGGAAGTAAAACGTGGGGCATAAAAGAGACATTGTGGGCCCTGGCTGGGTAACTCAGCTACGTCAGGGCTGATGTGCCAAGCTTGCGGGTTGGAGCTCTGGTCAGGGCACATTTAAGAAGCAACCAATGAGTGCATAAATAAGTGCAACAACAAACCAATCTCTCTCTCTCACTCTCTCAAAATCAATACATAAAATTTTTAAAAAGAGAGAGACATTGTGTAGTAATAGCTCATCTTCCTGTGTGGGATAAATAGGAGAGCAGCTAATTTTAATGATTCTGAACAGCAGTTTGTACATTTCCTATTAATATCAAAAAGACTATTATCCTTTGGGACTGAAGGTTACTTCTGGTGAAAGTGTTTAACATTTGGTGGAGGGGTGAGGAAAAACAAGGGGTTGAGGGGAAACAAAGGGAACTTTTTGTGATTGTATCTGTGGCGATCACTAACACCACAGATTGGATCTGTGGGACACTAACAAAATCAAAGACTGTGTGTCCTCTTTGAGTACAGTGGATCAAATCACTCTGATCTTTATTAACTGCATCTTCAGCCTTTGAGAAATGGATCTAATGTACATGAGCATATGGCCTACTTAACTATGTGACTCGATGATCCAGTTATCAAGGTACTGCTAAAAAAGCCATTACAAGACATAGGGGGAAAATATCTTCTTAACTCTTCCCATTTCCTTCCTCTTTACCAAATGTGTAACTGGTAATCCCTAAATTGATAATCATGTGGGAAAGCTAAAAAATTACACGAAATAATTGATGTATACAAACAGCAAATTTTTAGGAAAATGACCTGAATCTGCAATTGGTTCCAGATGTTAGAGTACTTTAGGCCACATTATTTTAAAGATTTCATTTACTTATTTTAGAGAGGGAATGGAGGGAGAAAGAGAAAGAGAGAGAGAGACATCAATATGCGGTTGTGGGGGGTCATGGTCTACAACCCAGGCAGGTACCCTGACTGGGAATCGAACCTGCGACACTTTGGTTCGCAGCCCGCGCTCAATCCACTGAGCTACGCCAGCCACGGCTAGGCCTCATTTTTATTTAGTCCTTTCTGTGGACAATTCTTACTCCTTCTTGTCCCTAAATCATGAGTATAAGACTCTCATCCCCATCCTTCTAACTCAGAAAATTACAGTGCTAAGTAAAAGTTGAGGCATGTCAGTGTTATACCTGAATATTTTGTTGCCTGATCTGGTTTAGGCTTAAGCAGTGATTGACAGAACAACAGAGACCTAAATTCAACACATTTTCTATCAGTAGGTGGTTCAGATTTTGGTCTATGTATCTGATCAGAAGAAATGCCAATATAGATATGCTTTGAATTGAAAGTGTTTATTTTCTGTGACTGTAAAAAAAAGACATGGTTGAGTGCATATAAAGAGTTAGTTAACTTGGATCTTAACTTGGAATAAAATAAAAGAAAAAGAATGACCAAAGAGAGTTATGATTTATTTATTTGTGGCCATTTAGCCATCTAACATTTAGTACATCAGGAAAAAAGTCAGCTTCAAACAGTACCTTTGTAGATGAACTATTTGTATACTATACCAGCCAAAGATTATCTTAATGGTTTCCTATCTGTACATATAACAAAACCAGATAAAACAGATGAGCATGTACATTCTCAGTGATTGCCCTCCCTTTTCTAACCTTGTATCTCAACAGGAAAATGCAAAGTAGCTTTGGTTCCAAATAATTTGGGTTTGGGGAACTACTCAGAGAGCAATGTAAGTAGTAAGAAAAGAAAGAAGGAAACAAGGTTTTGCCAAAACAAGCTTGTTTTTCATTTCTGCAAAAATCTGTATGGTTCATTTGTGTACTTTCTGGTAGGCCCCCATTGCTCTCACGATGTTTGTGATGTTGGCACATCAGAATCCCATGAATTCAAGGCTTTCACCCCAGAACTTGTTCTATATCCCTTTGAAGTAATTTTAATATTTATAAGCTAAAAAAGATCAGTGGTTAACATGCTAATTAAAAACATCTTTTTCTCCTTTCCATTTAGAAATGAGACAAGTATATTTTATTTCTGTTACATGCTCTTCATGTTACTGCAGTTGTCCCATTCTTCTTTCTCCCTGTAATCCTCCTCTACACAGTACCCCCATTTCCCTCTAACATTCCCCCACTTAGTTCATGTCCATAGGTTGTACATATAAGTTCTTTGGCTTCTCCATTTTCTATACTGCTCTTAACCTCCCCCTGCCTATTTTGTATCTACCAATTATGCTTTTTATTTCCTGTACCGTTCCCCCATTCTCCCCCTTCCCCATCCATGCTGAGATCTCTCCATGTGATCTTCATTTCTATGATTCTGTACCTGTTCTAGTTGTTTCCTTACTTTGTTTCTGTTTTTAGTTTTTAGGTTCAATTGTTGAGAGTTGTCTCATTGTTCTTACTGAGTCATCTTAAATTCTCTTTTCTGAGAGTGTATACTAAAGACAGCAGTTCTTTAAATTTATAACAAAGTACTTCTAAACATATTTATAAAACATTTAAAGTAATAAAATAGATATTTTATAAAATATTTTTCAATGAACATATTTAAACATTAAAATGTATAGGAGTATATACATATCCATATATTCATATTCCAATATACCACTATCATTTTATATTCAATTTTAATAATTTTTATTTGAATTCAAGAAGGAACACAAAACAACAGCATTAATTTTCCTTCATATACAGCCTGCATTTAATTGTGGGCCTTTCAGAATAAGAAGGAAGCTTGTCTAATTTGGGACAAAATTATCCCAGCAACAGCTACAGTGTTTGCTTGACAAGTGATCTGCAGAGCAGTGGGCTTACACATATGGATCAATAACTGATCAACAAGTATAGACAACCTTTGAATGGTAAGGGGATTAGGGGTGTCGATCCTAACTTTGGACTCTTCCAAAACTTAACTACAGACATCCCTCCCCAGTATTCACAGGAAGTTTGTTTCATGACCATTGCAGATACCAAAATCCCCAGATGCTGAGGTCTCTCATGTAAAATGATGTAGGACAATGCATGCAGTCAGCTCTCCACACCCACGGATTCCCATCTGAGGATAACAAATACAGTTTTCAACCTGTGGTTGGTTGAATCAACTGATGTACAACCCAAGGCTATGGCTGGCCAATGGTATATTTTTTTAAAGAAAATTCATATATAAGTGGACCGTGCAGTTCAAAGTCATGTTGTTCAAAGGTCAACTGTACAAATAAATAAAAAAAGCTCTTACCAGATTTGGGGTAGGTGGAGATCAAAAGGTCATCTGGTCGGGATTCAAATGACTCCACCTGGGACCACTCCTCAGCAATGCTCCAGAAGAGAGGGACACCCTGAACTTCCACTAACTCCCTTCTGTAGATACTTGGCTTATTGTCCATTTTTGAGAGACTAGATTTTATATGAAAGGGCACAAGTTAAAAAGTCTTTGTTTTAATAGCATTGATCAAATAAAAGAGTTTTATTCAATGAAATAATATTCCATTCCTCTAGATCCAGCAGCATCAGATCACAGTACTACTTCCCATCACGAATCAGCAGGAGGAAAAAAATATCTTTTAAAAACCAGTGAGGGCTTGCACCATTTATTTTATATGTGCTGTTTATATAGTAATATCATCAGTACTTCTTATGTGTACTTAATTGTGTACAGCTTTTCCTCAGGCAAAGATTTCTGGGACATGTGATAAAGTTACAGGACCTTGAAGTGTTTTTCTTCACCACCACGCTGTAATTCATTGCAGTGGGAATCTGAAGGAGCCCCCTAATTGCATTGAGCACTCTTAGCTATAAAACCAGCAGTAGCCTAACCTGGTACTTCTTCTCTTAAGTCACTCCCTAGGCTGGTAAAAGTAAATTATTCTAAGTTATCTCTAAGACACTGTAAGAATAAAAGGGTGTCAAGAAGAAAAGAACCTGAGGTAAGTGTAGCACTGGAAGTACATTGCTGTGATGAACGTTTCAACATCAGTGATATCATATGTCATTGTATATTCTTCTGACGTCATGTGTAAAAAAGTGGAAAAGACTGAAATATAACTTAAATCCTACTCCAAAACATGTTGTTTCCCAATTTAGCATGAGCTGAATGGTTATTTTTCTTTCTCTAAAGTTCTAGGAAAATGATTTAAAAGCCTTCCTGAGGCCCTTTAGCAGCTGCTGAATCTTTCTGCAGTAATTAAAATCAGAAGTGTCTGAAGTCAATGGACATAACTTAGCTTGCACCTTTTTGCAAAGTGCCAATATTTTATCTTCTTTTTATTTATTTATATTCCACTGTTCTCCTACCTCGTGCAAGTTCCTTTTGATTTTAAATGTTTTGAATTTGCAGGATACAAAATCTTACATAAAAATCTGTTCTATATCTATATCCTAATAAAAAAACTATCACAAAGAGAAATTAATAAAATAGCCTCATTCTCAATTGCATCAAAAAACACAATACTTAGGAGTAAATTTAATCATACAAGTCAAAGGCCTATATAGTGAAAACTATAAGAAACTAGAAGAAAGAAACTGAAAAAACCCCCACAAATTCCGGGAAAGATATTCTGTGTTCATGGATTGGAAGAATGAACACTGTTAAAATGCCTCTACCATCCAAGGTAATCTACAGATTCAATGCAATCCTTATCAAAATTCCAGTTACATCTTTTACAGAAATAGAACAACCCTAAAATTTTTATGGAACCAAAAAAGACCCAAAGTAAGCCAATCTCAAGAAAGAAGAACAAAGCCGGTCAGGCATGTTGCTCCATGATTTCAAACTATACTTAAGTACGGTATTTGATATTTTTGACCATATATGTTTCTGACACTTTCTTGATTTTTATGTTAGTATATTTTGGTTGATCTTTTATCTCTTTAATTCTCAAATTTTCAAAGGAATGTTTAGGACAGAATTATTGTTTTCCTTGGAGTCTCATAGTTCCTAGTTGGCTTATTGTACAAACATTTCCATGATTTTAACCACTGCCTGAGAGCTGATGCTCCAGAAGGTAGATTTATCATTTGTTTATTCTGGGACATACATATTCAAATGCTATTGTGCATTTTGCCCTAATGTTCCTTAGACATCTAAAATTTAATAATAACAAATTTAACCCATGAACCTTGCTCTTCAGTGACCAGTTCTTGTCCTCGAGTCACTATGCACCTTATAATTTAATGATACCACATTCACCTCACCACTCAACTCCAAAATCTGGAAGTTATCATAGATCTTTCTTCCCCTTGGCTTTTCCAGATCCAATTGGCTCACAAATCTGATTTTTCTTTTCTTTCACATATCCCTGTGAAAAGCAGCTTCTTTTGATGAACTAGCTTAGCAGTTAAGACTGTAAGGTTTCTCGATTTATAACTAATATGCTAGATCTGTTATTCATCACCGATGTGACTCCTAGCAAATCAAAATTCTGAATTCAAGTGTTACAGGTTCGATTCCCAGTCAGGGTACATGCCTGAGTTGCAGGCCATGACCCCCAGCAACTGCACATTGATGTTTCTCTCTCTCTCTCTTTCTCCCTCTCTCTCTTTCTCCCTCCCTTCCCTCTCTAAAAATAAATAATAAAAATAAAATCTTAAAAAGAATTCTGAATTCAATTTTCTAATCTTAAAAATGGAAGTGAAGACTTACTAACTTTATGCAGCTATTGTGGTAGAGAAATAATATGATAAATATAATGTGTATATTGATAAAAACATAGTATATATTTGGTAAAAGGCAGACACTATTAATATTTTATTATTACCTATAAAATACAGATCTCACTCTGCCTTATTTTGTGAAGAAAGAAGATCCAAACACAATTCAAAAAACTGTATAGTGTGGCATATTAGAATTACCCTAAAATGAATTGCAAATATTATCTGTATATGTATATGTGTGGGAAAGAGCATGCATTATATATGTGTATGTTACATGGACATATACACATGCATACATTAACCCACAGGACATTGTAAAATATCACATGACATCTTAAGTAGAAATAAGTAAAGACTTATTCCATCCTTTTTTCATGTACACATTTTAATTATTAAAAGTTTCCACCATCACCCTCAACTATTTTGTGCTGTGTATGTCACTGCTTTATATGTTACTTTTTAAGGTAAACTTAGATGTTATGTTTTAGAAATGTCTGCAATCATGGATAGGAATACATCACTTAATTGGGAATATCCACTTACAAAATACTTGAATTTAGAGACTCTGGCCAAGATGGAGGCACAGGTTGACATGCTTTGCTTCCTTACACAACCAATAGAAGGACAAAAACAAATTTTAAAACAAAAAACAATCAGAACTACCAGAAAATCAAACTGTATGGAAATCTGGCAACCAAGGTGTTAAAGAAGAAAAATTCATCCAGACTGGGCCACAATGCAGCAAAATGGGTGGCACCACCCTGGCAAATGCCTAAATCTTTGCCCCTTACAACATAACAGGTACACTCAGATAAAGAAATATGGTCCAATGAAAGGACAGATTGAAACTCTATAAAAAGAACTAAGCAATAGTGAGATACTTATTAGTATCTCACTTATTAGATGCAGAGTTCAAAACACTGTAATCAGGATGCTCACAGATTTGGTTGAGTATAGTTGCAAATAGGAGGGATAAGTGAAGGCTATGAAAAGTGAAATAAAGAAAAATATGCAGGCAACCAACAGTGAAGTGAAGGAAGTCAGGTATACTCAAATCAATGATTTGGAACAAAAGAAGAAATGAACATTAGACAAGAACAGTATGAGGAAACAAGAATTCAAAAAGATGGGGGAAGGTTTAGGAACCTCTGGGACCAATTTAATTGTTCTAACATCCAAATTATAGGGTTGCCAGAAGGAGAAGACAAAGACCAAGAAACTGAAACTTATTTGAAAAATTAATGAAGGTAAACTTCCCCAATCTGGTGAAGGAATTAGACATACAAGTCCAGGACACTCAAAGAGTCCCAAAGAAGTTGGACCCAAGGAGGAACACACCAAGACATACCATAATTAAATTACCCAAGATGAAAGATAAGGAGAGAATCTTAAAAGCAGCAAGACAAAAAGAGACAGTTACTTACAAAGGAGTTCCCAGAAGACTGTCAGCTGATTTGTCAAAAGAAGCCTTGCAGGCAAGAAGGGACTAGAAAGACGTATTCAAAGTCATGAAGAGCAAGGACCTACAACTAAGAGTACTCTACCCAGCAAAGCTATCATTTAGAATGGGAAGACAGATAAAATGCTTCCCAAATAAGGTCAAGTTAAGGGAGTTCATCATCACCAAGCCCTTATTATATGAAATGTTGAAGGGATTTATTGAAGAAAAAGAAGATGATCAAAACTATGAACAGTAAAATGACAACAAACTCACAACTCTCAACAATTGAACCTAAAAACCAAAGACAGAAACAAAGTAAGGAAACAACTAGAACAGGAACAGAATCATAGAAATGAAGATCACATGGAGAGATCTCAGTATGGATGGAGAAGGGGGAGAATGGGGGAACGTTACAGGAAATAAAAAGCATAATTGGTAGATACAAAATAGGCAGGGGGAGGTTAAGAGCAGTATAGAAAATGGAGAAGCCAAAGAACTTATATATACGTACAACCTATGGACATGAACTAAGTGGGGGAATGTTAGAGGGAAATGGGGGTACTGTGTAGAGGAGGATTACAGGGAGAAAGAAGAATGGGACAACTGCAGTAACATGAAGAGCATGTAATAGAAATAAAATATACTTAAGATACTTAAAAAAACAAATACATGGTATGGGACATACACACACACACAACTTTTCTATGTAACATTTTCTCCAAACTTATTGTTTGTTAATGTTCAAAGTATACATGTTATATTGATACTATTTAATACCAATTTCACATGCCAAAATGCTATTTCATACAATGTGACAAACTCTTAAATAAAACATTTCTGTGACATTGTGGCATCATTAAAAGATAAATAAAACAAAATAATATATATTGAGAAAAAAGAACTTACATGTACAACCCATGGACATGAATTAAGGGGGGAAATGCTGGTGGGAAAGGGGGAGAAGGGTGGAGAAGGATAAAGGGGAGAGAACAAATGGGTCAACTGTAATAGCATAATCAATAAAATACATTTGAAAATAAATATTTGAATTAAACATATTGTCTTTTTTGTTTGTTAAAATATTAAGTGTTTTCAATACTACAGCAACATAATTAATTATATTACATGATTCTTCATTTATCAGGGCTTTCTATACTGATGTGTTGTTCTTAGAATATAGCTTTGACAATGAACCCAAAGGATTCGTTAAAGGGATATAAACAAGCCCATACAAAAATGGTTATTCAGTAAAGTGACAATAGGAGAATGCATATAAAAAATAACTCAAATCTTGTTTCAGAACCCTTGAGACAGTAATTAATTTTTAGAAATTTGAAGAATATAACACTATAGTAGTTCTCTGATTTAATGATTAAAAAGATTGAATACATATTGAAGTAAAAAATATTCCATACAGTTAAAATATTTTTGAAATAAGAGATAAAGCACTGATTAATAGTGAGTGTATTTTCTAGCATCAGTGCAATACATTTTTTGTTTTTGAGAATCTTGAGACATACTCAAAAGCAGGCTTGTGAAAATCATTTTGGGCAAGATCTGATTTTTATGTTTCCACAGTAGAACTTTTAAGAACTCATTCTAGCAGTGGTTTTCACAAGAATATTCTTTTAAACTAAATAGAAATGTTGAGAAGATAAATGACTAAAAACTTTTAAAAGTATATTTAGTTTTATAAGCTTAGAATTAGTAGAGCAGACTACCTCAGCACAATTTTATATATGAAATATAATCCTGTCCATTTATGACAGGAAATCAAGACCCAATAACACCCAAATAATTCCCTTTTTAAGGAAAAATATCCATAGTAGAATTTTCCATTTCTCATTCTCTAATTTTTGACTGTTAAATTTAGTTTTATACAAAATGTCAGCACTTTAAAGACAGCTGATAAATGACTTACTAGGTAATTGTCTTGAGGAGCTGGAGGTCCAGATTTCGTTTCTACAGTAATTGGTTAGTGGAAGTTTCACCCTGTATGTTGTTTCAGTCAACCAGGATAACTGGTTATACGCATTAAGAAAATGAAAGGTGAAGTTCACACTGCAGTATCAAATTAATGATTAAGCTGTACAAAGTCTGTTGTTCTTTTGAACACTAAAGGTGTAAGGAAAGGCTTTTTGCTGTAGCTTATGGGAGGAAATAGAATGAAACAAAAAGCCCATGAAAAGCAGCTAGAATTAACTAACAGCAAGTAATTATGTAAAGTAAATGAAGGTTTTTTACACTGACTTTTCCTTTTGCTTCTGATTTCAATTATAAAAGCCAAGCAAAACACAGATGGCTGTTTCTTGATCCCAGTGATCTTTTTAAAAATTACTTTATTGTTGTTCACTTACAGCTGTCTGCAATATCCCCCAGCCCTCCCTGCCACCAACCCCTTGCTTCCACCCTCCCCCCTGGTTTTGTCCATGTGTCCTTTACAGTAGTTTCCGAAAATCCTTCCCCCTACTGTGCCCTCCCCCCTCCCCTCTGGCTGTTGTTAGATTTTTCTTCATTTTAATATATTTGGTTATATTTTGTTTGCTTTTTTCTTTTGTTGATTATGTTCCAGTTAATGGTGAGATCATATGGTATTTCTCCTTCACCACCTGGCTTATTTCACTTAACATAATGCTCTCCAGTTCCACCCAGTGATCTTATTAGAAATCCTCACTTAAAGGTGGCTTTTCTGTATCTCCAAAACTTTATAGGTAATTTATAGACAGACAAGAGTATGCACCCTGTATAGGAGCAAAGGACAGAAATGCAGCCAGAAGGTTGGAGCACATTCTGAGCTGGATAATTAGAAGCTAGGAAAATTCCTGGGTAAGTGACATGGGGAAACGGAGACAATATACTTAGACAAGTCCAAACAACTTGACCAATTTATGGCCAGCTTGTGAATCACAAAACTTTATCTTCCCTAACAAAGGGCAGTTGAGAATAAATGGCTTATTTCTCTTCTCCTGGACCAGAGAATAAATAGCTTAAATCACCCTGGTCAAAATGATAGAGGACAGAGACCCAGGGTTCCTTCCTGGGTTGACTAGTCTATTGCAGTGATCTGTGTGTCTGTTTTTATGTCAGTACCAAGCTCTTTTGATCACAGTGGCCTTATAGCATATTTGGATATCAGGTTTTGTGATCCCTCCAACTTTGTTCTTCTTTCTCAAGACCGTTGAGGCTATTCAGGGTCATTTATGGTTCAATATGAAGTTTTGGAATATTTGTCTTAGATCTGTGAAATATACCTTTGGTATTTTAGTAGGAATTGCATTGAATCTATAGCTTGCTTTGGGTAATGTGGACATTTTAATGATGTTAATTCTTCCAATCCATGAACACAGTATATGCTTCCATTTATTTCTATCTTCCTTAATTTCTTTCCACAGTGTTGCATAGTTTCCCAAGTACAGGTCTCTTACTTCTTTGGTTACATTTATTCCTAGGTATTTTGTTGTTATTAGTATAGTAAATGAGATTTTTATTCTTAGTTTCTCATTTTGATAGTTCATTGTCAGTATACAAGATGCCATCAATTTCCAAATATTGAATTTGTATCCCACTACTCTGACAAATTCACTTCTTAGGTTGAGTAGTCTTTTTGGTAGAATGTATAGGGTTTTCTATGTACATTATCATGTCATCTGCAAATAATGACAGTTTTACTTCCCCCCTTTCCAATTTTGATTACTTTTATTTCTTCTTCTTATCTAATTGCTATAGTTAGGGATTCCAGTACTATGCTGAATAAGAATGGTAAAGGCAGACACCTGTGTCTATTTCATGATCTTAAGGGAAGCGCTTTTAGTTTTTGCTTGAATATGATGTTGGCATTAGGTTTTCTCTATATAACCTTTATTATGTTGTGGTATGCTGTCTCTCTTCCCAATTTGCTAAGTGATTTCATCATAAATGGATGATGTACCTTATCAAATGCTTTTTCTGCATCTATTGATATGTTCATATGATTTATGTCCTTCATTTTATTTATGTGGTGTATCATACTTGATTTGTGAACACTGTACCATCCTTGTACCCCTGGAATAAATCTCACTTGATCATGGTGTATGATCTTTTTAATGTATTGCTGGATTTGGTTTGGTGGTATTTTGTTGAGGATTTTAGCATCTATATTCATCAGAGATATTGGCCTGTAGTTTTCTTTCTTTGTTGTGTATGCCTGGTTTTGGGATTAGGTTAATAATGGTCTCCTAAAAAGAGTTTGAGAGTTTTCCCTCTTCCTAGAATTTTTTGGAATGGTTTGAGAGGGATAGGTGTTAGTTCTTCTTTGAGTAGATGGTAACATTTGCTTGTGAAGACATCTGGTCCAGGGTTTTCTTGTGCCAGGAGTTTTTTGATTATTGCTTCAATTTCACTAGTTGTCATCGGTCTATTCAGGTTTTCTGCTTCTTCTAGATTCATCTTTGAAAGCTCATATGTTGCTAGAAATGTATCCATTTCACCTAGATTTTCCAACTTCTTGGCATACAGTTGTTTATAGTAATATCTTACAATCTTTTGTATTTCTGTTGTATCACTTGTATCACTTTTCCTCTTTCATTTTTAATATTATTTATTTGAGTCTTCTCTCTCTTTTATTTTTATTTTTTTGATAGGTCTAGTTAAGATTTTGTCAATTTTGTTTATCTTTTCAAAGAATTAGCTCCTGGATTCATTGATCCTTCAATTTTTTTTTTCTGTCTCTGGGTCATTTAATTCTGCTATCATCTTGATTATTTCCTTCTTTCTATTCCCTCTGGGCTTTGTTTGTTGTTTTTTTTTTCTAGTGTTTTTTTAGGTATACTGTTATATTTTTTACTGGAGATTCTTCCACCTTCTTTAGGTAGACCTGTTATGCAATGAACTTTCTTCTCAGAACTGTTTTTGCTGTGTCCCATAGTTTGGGGATGTTGTATGTTCATTTTCATTTGCTTCCAGGTACTTTTTGATTTCTTCCTTGCTCTCATTGTTAACCCATTAATTAGTTAATAACATGTTATTTAGCCTCCATATTTGAATGCTTTTTTTTTGCAGTTGAGTTTTAATTTCAAGCCATTGTAATCCCAAAAGATGCTTGACATGAATTTAATTTTCTTGAATTTGTTAAGGTTTACTTTGTTTCCTACCATGTGGCCTATCTTTGAACATGAGCCATGTGCTTTTGAGAAGAATGTATAGTTTGCTTCTTTGGGATGAAATATTCTGGAAATATCAATTAAGTCCACGTGATCTAGTGTGTCATTTAATGCTGCTATATTCTTGTTGAATTTTTGTCTGGAAGATCTATCTATTGTTGACAGTGGGTGTTAAAATTTCCTACAATGACTGTATTGCTGTTGATCTCTTTCTTAAAGTCCTCCAAAAATTTCTTTATATAATCATATTTAGGTGCTCCTTTATTAGGTGCATATATGTTCATAAAACTTATGTCCTTTTGTTGGATTACTCCCTTAAGTATTATGTGGTGGTCTTTGTCTGTGTTGTGGCCCTTGTTTTGAAATATATTTTGTCTGATATAAATATTACTACCCCAACTTTTTTCATGTCCATTTGCATGAAATGAAGAGATGGAAATTTTATCCATCCTCTCACTTTTGGCCTATGTAAATATTTTGTTCTGAGGTGGGTCTCTTATAGCTAGCATATACACAAGGTGTGGTTTTTTTTTTCTATTTGGTCACTCTATATCTCTGATTAGATCATTTAATTTATTGATATTTAAGGTTATTATTGATAGATATTTATTCATTTTCATTTTTCCCCTTTGTATGTGTGTTCCTCACTGTATACTTCTTCTTCTTTGTACTTCTCCTTTTTAAAAAAATATTTTATTTATTTATTTTTATAGAGAGAGGAAGGGAAGGAGAAAGAGAGTGAGAGAAACACCAGTGTTTTGTTGCCTCTCATGTGATCCCCTATGGGGACCTGACCTACAACTGAGGCATGTGCCCTAGACTGGAAATCAAACTAGTGACCCTTTGGTTCACAAGCCCATACCCAATCCACTGAGCTACATCAGCCAGGGCTACTTCTTATTCTTCTTAACTCAGTCCCTTTAGTATCTCTCACTATGCTGGGATTGTGGAACTGTACTCCATTAAACCTTTTTTTTTTTTTTAATTTGGGAAACTCTTCATTTTGTCCTCCATTTTAAATCAGAACCTTGCAGATAGAGTAGTCTTGGTTGCAGGTCTTTGTGTTTCATTACTTGGAATATTTCATACCAAACTCTACTGTCCTATAGTGTTTCTGTTCAGAAATCAGCTGATAGCCTTATCAGAGTTCTTTTGTAAAAAATTAAAAGTTTCTCTCTTGCTAACTTTAAGATTCTCTCTTTGTCTTCAAATTTTGCCACTTTAATTGTGATGCATACTGCTGTGGATCTCTTTGGTTTCACCTTGACTTGGACGCTTTGTGCTTCCTGAATTTGCAATGACTCTCTCCCTAACCAAATTGGGGAAGTTTTATGTCATTATTTCTTCAAATAGGTTTTTTATCCCTTGCTCCCTTTCTTCTCTTTCTGGTATCCCTGTGGTGTTGATATTGTTACATTTCATGTTGTCCCAAAACTCTATTAAACATCCTCATTCTTCTTAAGTCTTTTTCACTTTGTTGCTTTGATTGAGTGTTTCCTTTCCTATCTTGTCTTCCAACTCAGTGATTTGATCCTCTGCATCATCTACCCTACTTTTATTTCCTTCTAGTGTATTCATTTCTAATATTAAATCTTTTATTTTCAACTGGTTATTATTCAAGTTTTCTATGTCCTTTTTCATGCTGACATAGTTCTCACTAAGTTTCTTGTAGTTCTCACTGTTTTTTGAGCATTCTTGTAACCATTACTTTGATCTCTACATCTGATAAACTGCATGCCTTGATTTTCTTTAGCTCTTTTTCTAGGGATTCCTCCTTTTCTTTTATTTGGGGCTTGTTTTTGTGTCTCTCCATTTTAGTTGTCTCTTTGTGTTTGTTTGTATGTATTAGATTGGTCTGCTTTGATCTCTGTCTTATGGAGTGGGC